AACAGCAATTCCTGTGTTAGTTTTTCCTCCCTTCGTTTTGAGCTCCCTGGTAGCTATGTGTTTCAGTTGTAACTGTTGGTGCTGTTGAGCCACGGACAAAACAGACTGCACATTCCCGCTGAGGTAAATACAAAACGGCAGACGTAGTTTTTGCAAGTTGACCTGAGGGATCCCAAAAGAGAGTAGCTCATGTGACACGACGCTGTAGGAAGACCTGGCAAAAAGCAGATAAAATGGCTGGGGGTTCCAGGTTTGGTCGTCCCACACAAGTAAAACTATCAGTGTTGAACTAACATCAAGATGTCAAATACACCTTGAGGCTGAAAATCATTGCTTTACAGACCAATTCTTTATCCTATAGTCCTTTGTGAAATCAAATCTTGGTCGTTCTCTGCCGGTGAAATAGCAGGACTGAGTATAAGGCGCTTTGTTGGGGGGAACATTTGGGAAACTTATCCCAATGACAGTATAGCTTATTTTCTATTGAGTATATTGTTTAAAACATCAGATTGTTGTGTTCTGGTGGCACGAGTGTGCTACTTTCCATCTGTACTGTTTCTGTGTTTGCGGGACTGTGCAGGGAGGTTTCACTACATGTTGATCTGTGTCACTATCATACAGTATGTACAGTCTGCATTTCAAGACTTTGGATCTATACAAGCAGGCATTGGGGACAGAGAACGTATCAGTTTTCAATATTTATGTGTTTTAATGTTGTGTTTCACTTGATGGACAACACCAGCTGTCGAGAACTTCTTCGGGCTTTGCCCAGAATGTCACGAGACGACAAGAGACCACGGTGCTTTGTTTTTCTCCAACATGTACTTAATAAAATGCCACCCACATTCAAACATCATGGAAATAAAAGAGAAATTATGTAAATTAAATACAGACATGTGAGCTTATCTCTGAAAAGAGCCGACACAAGCGGAGTTACAGCGATTGGGTGACACTCTGTGTGTGGGCGTGGCCGGGCCAGGGGAGTAATTCTGATTGGTCGCTGCCCTGTGAGTGGGTGTCCCTGGTCCAGGGGAGAGATTTTGATTGGCTCTGTGGGAGGGGGAGCAGTATTGAGCCTGCTGCTGACAGCCGTGGCAGTGGGTGGGAGAGTCACACCCTGCGACAGGTGAGGAGGAAAAGAAAGAGGATGAGGGGACCGGGGAGGTGGAGAAGGAGTGGTGCAGAGGGGAGGAGGCGGGGGACATGAGGGGGCTGGTGTGCAGACGCCACAGAAGCTCGTCGTTGTTGCGACTAAGCCTCTTTTTCTCAGTGCTCTCCTTCTCAACCGAATCGTGGAGGTTAGCGTTCTCCTCTGACAGTTGCCTGCAGGGAAAACATCACAGAGGAAGTTAACAAAGCAGTATTATACTGTTTTTCATCAATTATAGTTCTCAGATTTATACAAAACATGTCTCTGAAGTGTTTGGCTCGAAACACCAAACCGATCATTGCTGCATCCCATAAACCCCTCTGTTTCAGCCCTGTTTCAAAAGTGCTGATTCTCTGGCCATTTCTCAATCGCGAGGATGCTTGCTTGGTAGCACATGTCTTCCGAGTCATTTGCTTCAGAAGCTAGGCAAGAATCCTTCCTGGCTTTCGGAAAACGAAGAGTGGAACAGGCTAGCGAGTGTGCAGGTGTGCGTCATATGAGAGGCCCCGCCTTACATTTTCCGCCACAGATTTGGGGAAATTGGTCCGTGTGCAGAGCATTGTGGGGATTTTAAGGACGCGAAGTCTACCCATGTGCAGCCTCAACATTTCCCGCGGCACTCGATGACGTAGCATCCTTGAAATATTGGCTTGGAAGCCAGTTTCCTCGAGATTGAGAAACGGCCACTGTCTGTTACTTTAGATGAAAATAAGGAGCCCCTCCCTACGCCCCTCTGAGAGACATTTGGTTAAAAAGAACACATTAGCCGCTTTCACACCAAGTACTTAGTGCCCAGCACTTAGTACCCCCATGGAACTAAAGAGCAGATCGCGTTCACACCGGAATAAGTCCCTGAGAGAAGATTACGCAAATGAAGCCGCTGACG